TCATGAGTTGCTCTTGAGAGGCCGACACCGACTTCACGAGTAGTGCAGCGACGGCAGAACTCTAGGCAGTTCTGGGACTCGGTAGTACCGGGATTTTTCCGACCCGCGCGCCACTGTCCGCCCCCCCCCCCCTTGGTCCGAAAACCCGGAGTTGTACAGGCCCGAACCTCAGCCGCTTTCCGCCCCTCCGCCACTTTTTTTTTTTTTTTTTTTTTTTTTGCGAAAGCAAACCATCTCATTATGCAAATCGGAGAGAGGCCGGGGACCTCACAAGTCTACCTTGTGGGGTAACCAAGTTTTGCCAGACCAACCTGGCATGAGAGCACTTACTTCCTACTAACAGAAACTAGACCAACCTGGCAACAACAAAAGGCCAGCCCAACCTGGCCACACAGCGTCGAAACAACAGTGGTACTTAACACTCTTGTGCATCGGCCCCTTTGGCCCTAATACGGACCTGTAAGCCTACAGCTTCCATTATCAAGGCATTTTGAACCACYGAGTGGTCAGGTTGGATCGGCCTTGAAAACTAAGACTCTCACGTCTAGGTGTGACTATTACCACCCYCAGGATGCCCCTCTCTACCCCACTATCAACCGAACAGTTTCCAGCACCGAAATCCCCTCCCAGATCTCTCAATCCTCCCCCTACTACACTAAAAGCCCTTCACTGAGTTCCTCACTACGATTCTAACTAGATTTGACCCAGGGTGACAGCACAAGCTTCCGAGTCTGTGTAGAGACCGCTGCCAGCCTATTCTTTTTGGCCCAGGATCGCAAGAACCACAACCTTGCCTTCGAGCGCTCAGGGTCCGGTTGAGACAAAACCTTCCTTCTCCAGTCCACATGTATCATGTGCCTGACTGTGGATTTCATCCCATTTTTCAGTGCCACAACCGAGAGATATCTTTTCTCAAACAGCACTGAGTTCCTTTCTTTTCATATCCGCCATATGACCACTGCACGAATTGTTGTCGCCACGTACCCCCAGCCCTTCCCATTGGACAATGTGTGAGGCAGTTTGCCCATAATGGCCCACTCCAGATCCCATTTCACCTCTTCAGGCTCTCCCCAGGCTTTCCAATGATAGCCCCACCACTTCCAGATGCGTCTGAAAGTGGGCAGGTGCCCCATAGGTGTGAAGCGTCCTTCCGAGCACGGTGGCATCTCGCACAGCCTATGTCGACCTCCATGCCTCAAATAAACAGGGAGACCGCGTCCAGCGGGGCCGAGTGCACCGTCAGCCATAGTACTGAGGCACATTTTGTGCTCGGAAGTCTTCTGCAGAGTTTCCACATTTCTTGGTAGTATCTGACAGATAAGGCCGATCCCGTACTCGCATATGAGTGCGCCTCCTGTAGCTTAGCAGTTGAACTCCCTGTCAATCTCTGCAGTGTCATACCCAGTCTAGAGTTGTACCTGAGTAGGTCTGGTTTACCCCGCATTCTGGTCGAACCATACAGTTTTGGGTCCAGCTTCAGCTCTCGGATCGGCATATCATTCATGAGGAGTACCGGTTGTGTTATCCCGACTGCTGAGAACTGCATGGAGACTCTCACTTCCTCCAGTGAGCATGATCCACTCCACTCCCGTTCCTCTTTGAAAATCAAGATACTAGCTTGCTGTCTTTCACTAGTTTGTCTCTCCCACACTTCCATTTTATCTGGGCTGGTTAGTCTCAACACCTGTGTGTCCCTGCCAATGTTGAGAACCGGGCGGTACCATCGACCAGTTACCGGTTGTTCCATCAAAAGGTGTATCCAGTCGTCGGGGATAGCCTGAATCAGCTCCTCCCGCCTTACCTCAATGTACCACAGTCTCCCCAGCTTTCTTCTGAGTTTCGTGACACTCGTCCATTCCATCCGCAGCTCATCCCATAAGTTGTCGACGCGGAGCACTCCTCTTTCCACCCATGCTCTCCCAAAATTTCCCCGTCCTGCGATCATGAAGGATGACCCATTTGCTTTCTTTATCCACCGATTCTCGAAAAGGGGCTGCCTTAATACTTCGTCCCATGTTCGCGGCTCTCTCAAAGGCTCTGGAGCAAGTGTTCTTCACGCTTGCAGCACCCCTTGCCTGAAAGGAGATTTTGGTCTCCTTCGCCCGGTTGTCTTTTTGTCGTTTTGTGGCCATTTCCATTTGTGGCAATGTCGTCCAATCCAAAAAAGGTTGAAAGGGGGAATTTCGGGGTCGGGAAATGCAAAAGGGAAGGGTGCGGTCAGTGGGAAGTCTAAGACCAGTAGCGGGTCAGGACTGGGCGACCTATTGTAGGATAAGCAGGTCATCGGTGTGTTGTCCCGGTCGATGACCGGTGCTTCCTATTTGGGAGGAGGGGTGGACGAATTACAGGGGGCAAGTTCCGCTAGCAGCGTAGAGCTATCTCAACGCCTGAATTTGGACGCTTCTGCGGACATGTACGGACATGGTGTTTCCTAAACTCAGGCATTGAGAATAAGAAAGAAATTTCAAAAAAAAAAAAAAACGAGCGGCGTTCCGCTAGCAGCGTTGAGCTATCTCAATGCCTGAATCTGGACGCTTCTGCGTACATGTGCAGACGTGGTGTTTCCTGAATTGAGACGTTGAGAAAAAGAAAGAAAATTCGAAAAAAAAAAACGAGCGGCGCGAAAGACGTTCCTGTCGTGAAACGTGCTTGGCGTGGGGGCTTGGTTTTGCGGGCCGTGAGCTAGCTCAGCGCCTGAATCTGGACGCTTCTGCGGAGATGTGCAGACATGGCGTTGAGAAAAAGGAAAAAAATTCGAAGAAAAAAAATGGGAGGCGCAGAAGACGTCTCTGTGGTGAATTGCTAACGTAGTGGTCGGGGTGGGCGGTTTCTTTTGCGTGGAGCGGTTACTATTACGGTTGGGGAAGAGGGTCGAATGTGTCGACCTTCGTGAAGTGTCGAGTGGGCGGGGGGGTGGTCGGGCAATGGAGGGGAAGGCATCACATGATTTTATTCATTCATTGAGATGAGAATGGGGGGCGTGGAGGGGGGCGTGGAGCGGGAGCTGTCCGTGGGAGTGCGGTCGTGTGGCAAGCAGGGCGGTGTGTGGGGGGAGGAGATGCAGCCGGCTGCAGGCGCCGGCATAACAAGGGTGTCCGGATGCATGGGCAGGATGTGTAGGGCCTATCGGTGGAAGAGGGAAGGCATTGCATGCATGTGAGGGAAGGCATTGCATGTATGTGAGGGAAGGCATTGCATGCATGTGAGGGAAGGCATTACATGCATGTGAGGGAAGGCATCGCATGCATGTGCAGACTGCAGCTGCTGACATAACAATGGCGGGCATGGAGGGAAAGCCGTCGGTGGGAGGGCTTTAGTTGGCGGTCATCAGCGCCTTTTCTTGTGTTACATATAAGGAGAGGCTCCTACCGTTGAAGATGCGGAAGCAGTTTGTGAGTCGCGTTATGAGAGGAGAGAGGAACAGGATGGCAAAAGGTTGAGAGGACGAAGGGTGTGGAGATTCCGTGGACGGTGTCGAAGCGGAGCCTGCGGAGGGGACTGAGAAAGTGGCGGGGAAAAACTTTTGCGAGAGTATAGTTGAGTGACTCCTGGGAACTCTAGAAAAAGATTTGCACGACGGATTTCTACGGTGGGTGGAGCGGTGCCCCCGGTATTCCCTTGGCTGCGCTACTGCGCCTGGCGCGGTCTATCAGTGTGTGAAGCAACCGCGCGAATACCCGAGTGCGAGGACAGAAGACAACGCAATCTAGTGACATGTGCAGTAACCCGCACTCTGCAGAGGCCGGGCTGTGTGACCACGCACTGACCGGCCCAGCCCAGCGTCTGGCCAGTGAGACCCAGCGCTGGACTGGGGAAATTCAAAGGTCAAAGTCAACTGTTGGGTTGTAGGTACCGTACCCAAGTCCACGAACAGATACACACATGTGTTGTATGCAGGTACCGGGCCAAGACATCGGACCAAGGGAGAAACAGTTGCACACCGATCCAGGCCGTGACCGCATCAAGATCTTGACGGCACAGGACCGCTGCAGCGGGGTATTGACCCCAAGTCAACACTACTTGAAGTTAACTCCTGGCTTTGACATCATTCATTCTGTCGCGAGTCAAGTCTGACTCTACTTTGACTCGACGCTGGCTTGTGAGGCGCTGGCTTATTGCTAGCTGGACGCTGGCGTTCTTCAGCGGCGACACGCTGCTTGCTTGCTGGCATGGGGGCTGGCTTGCTCTTGTCTACAAGGTGCTGACGTGGCAGCGCCACGTGTCGTTGTTGACGTGGCTGCTGCCACGTAGTGTGTTGGTGACGTGGCAATACCACGTGTTCATTCGCTGTTCAGGCTATCGTCGTCTGGAAGGAGGTCAGGAACTGTGGGGTTGAGATGACACGTACCTTCTTATTGAGATGACATTGCTGCTCCGTTGATGAAGAGAATGCTGATGTGCCACGTGGCACCTTGAGGAACTCAGATCTGTATCTGGATTGACGCTGCTGGAGAGGGGGCGACTCTAATTGTCCCGAAGGAGAAGTGGGCAACTCTTCAGAGTCTTTTTTTCCCCTCTCTCTTTCTCTCTCTCGTCTATGTATGTATATACTCGGATCGTGGAACAGATCTGTTCGACATTATTCATCAACAGGACTGGATTACTCGAGTTGCTTTGTCATTGAGCCATTGGACTATTGCTGCACGAGCGCTGATGCTCGTGCGTTGCCGCGAACAGTATCCGGATGTTCAATGATTGTTATCTCGCTTGGGTTCATTGCAGTTTGGTATCGGAGCAGTTCTTTCGTATCGCCGYGAGAAGGTGCAYCRCGTGCGCACGTGCGCGCGCTGCCGTGGCGATATACGACGAYGATTTTGAYGACCACCGTGCATAAGCACGATCACGAGGAGGATCATCACGATCAYGAAGGTGATCACGACCTTGATCATCACGACGTCGACCGCGACCACGATCACGAAGAACGTGATCAAGTGGATGATCGTCACGAACACGACCACAATCACGAACGTGATCACGGAAGACACGATCACGAACGTGATCTTGACGCTGAAGAAGAACATCGTGACGAAGTATCACGACGACGATCAAGATCACGAATGTTATCACGATCTTGACGAAGATCATCACAACGACAATCAAGATCACGAATGTGATCACGACCTTGACGAAGATCATCACCACGACGAAGAGCATATGACGACGAAGTTCCATCGGGCCGCGCTTGAGTTGATTGTCGCGCGTGCTCGATCACGACCCGGATGCGCGCTGATGACGTGGCGGGAAAAATAGTGGGGGAGAGAGAATGCTGAAACGCGATCTCAACGCGTTCGTCTAGAGAAGAAGCACTCTCCTCCCTTGAAGACTGCGCGCGCCGGTGAGAAGAAGATGATGATGATGATGCTTTGAAGAGAAAGACGATCTTGCTGACGTAGCAGAGTTGTATCACATTGGGGAGACCTTGAGCACGGACCTTGAGTGCTGACGTGGCAGGGGGGACACTGACTTGTTGTTGTTTCCCTGTTGACGCGGCTTGATTGAAGTCGTATCTGGGGGCCAGATTGGCTGACGTGGCACCCCCCCCTCTTGATTGATTGATCACTTGATGCTGACGTGGCAAGTGTTGTGTGCTTGCTGAGTTGGCATTACCGGGGTGTCACGTGATTGACACGTGTGTGCTTGGGTGAAAGAGCATCCCGCTGACAATAGCGGTACAGTTGATTGGACAGCTGTAGTGCCAGCTGTCRTGTTGGGGTGCCTATTGCTTTGATCASGACTGACGCAGGGGATTATTGATGCTGACATATTGATTGTTGTTGATGTTGGCTTGTTTTCCCTGTAKCGTTTGTTTGTCCCGTGCTGGCATACTCACCTGTGTTGTATCTGGTCACTTTGTCTGGATCGGTACCTGCAAAAGCACGTCATCACATTGAGTTAGATAAATAAGAACAACGAAGATAAAGAAAAAGAAAAATAATTGAAAATATAATCCACAGTTATTTTGCTGTCATTACTCTTGCTGTAATCTGCTGTGTGGAATCTGTGAGGCCGCGGAATTAATTATTGTTTATTTTCTGTTTATTGTGCGGTAGATTCTCCACACTGAAATATCTCAGGAAGAGACTGTTAAAACCCCAGTTGAGGGCCAGAGTGTTGAGGAGCTCCCTGACCCTCGTACAAGGGCACAGGTTGAGCAGAGACGACAACTCTTGTCAGGACGGCTCTACCTTTTGGCCACTGAACTGCACGACGCCGGTGCAGAGGTTGAGTCACATGTGAGGGCCCAATTTGATCTGCGGAAAGCCCAGGCAGAGCTTGATGCAGCTCAGACTGACACCGACCTATTGAAGATACAGGAGTTCATTATCCAGTGCCGTAAAGCACTGGATGCGTACATGTCAGCAGTTCGAAGACATAGCAAATGACAGAAATGCCAAAACTGATGTGGTGGTTACGAAACAGACAATTGATGAGAACATCAGACACTTGGAAGAAACTCTTGAAAAAGAGAAAACGTGCAAGGCAGAAATGCTAAAGAAGGAAGAAGAAGATGAACAGCAAGCAAAACGAGAACAAGAAGTCAGACAGCATGTGGTAATTGTGTCAGGGGAAGAACAGGTTGTGGCATTGAACCAACTGGTTCAGTACCTCGCTCACTTGGAGACAATGCTCGACCATTTTGAAACAAAGTTGGAAGAATTGACCGTAGGATTGAAGAATGTGACTAACTTGGTCAGAGGAAAGGAAAAAGAGGTTTGGAAGGAACAACCTGTGAAGAAACTAATGGGTGATGCTATGAAAGATCTCAGGGTCAAAGTAAAGAAGGGGGAACCATCTGGGCCTCCTCCACCGACGCCACCACCATCCAGTCCTCACCCATCAGGAGGAAAGAAAGATAAAGAAGAGAAATCTGAGAAGCCAAAGAAGAAGGAAAAGGTAAAGATGAAATTGTCTTTCACGATCAGTAATAAGAAGGATGAAAACTTATTACTGTGGATTGCAGAAATACAGACCTACGTCGGGACGACCCCCGTAGAAGAAGAATCACAGGTCGCCTTCTTCACGTCGTGTCTTGGAGGGGAGGCCAAAGAGTGGGTCCTGGCCGAAGCTAATGCAGCCGGATTCGATAATATTGGTAAATGGGCCAGTACGATGACCCTGAAATAGTTCCTGGACAAGATCCGGGAACGTTTCCTTGACAAGACAACGGCCGATAAGGCCTTCGATCAGCTCACTACCATAGGTCAGAAAAATTGGACGTCTGCGAAGGCGTTGTCCCGTGAGGTCGATCGATTGCTGCAAGTACCGCGCTTAAATCTGCAGGATGAACAGGTCCTGTATATTTATGCCCGGGCCTTACCTGAACCTATAAGAGGTCAATTAGTGGCCGAGTCAAAGTCAGGTAAGTACAAGTATCGGCAATTTCGTGATTTGAATCTCCAGAGAGAGCAAATGACTTCTCAAGTTAAACATTCATATGCATCTGTGGTGAAATCTGGTGGTGCAGGTGCAGGTGCGAGATACGGTAAGCGAGTCCTTTGGCGCCAAAAGCCTCAGGACCACATGCTTGTTGTCTTTGACGACGACACAGTGGAGAAGCTACCAATAGAAGAAGGAGTTCCCAGCAGCAGTGAGTCCGGAAAGGGGGACGTCACTACTGCCGTGGTCAACAAAGGAGGACCACGAGATCCGTATCAAGGGAGGAAACCATGCTCGTTTCCTGCGCACCCAGGCATCGTGACATTCAAGCCGTGGGAAAAGATGGAGATTGACCAAAAGAGCTGGCAGGAGAGAATGGACAATGCGCAATGTTTGAAGTGTGGAAAGGAGGGACACATCATTGCATGGTGTCCACTCATCCGACACCCAAAAGCGAGCCGCCAGTAGGAGTTGCATCTGCTCCTACTGAGTTGAAGAAGTCACACGATGAGAAAGGTAAGGCGCATACTAACCCTTTCACTTCTTCGACTCGCGTGACAGAGGATGGTTGTTCTCCGGCCCATCATCCAGATCACCCTGAACTTGTCTTATGTTCTGTCTCTCTTGATGACTCCTTTGATGAGCTTGGTAATGAGTTGCTAGCACTACGAAGCTCATGGGCAAAGAAAGCAAAGCTTAAGGGTGAACTATTACTCGCAAATGTAGAGATCGCACACGAACAGACGGGTGCACTTTTAGACTCAGGGTCTACACGATTCTACATTTCTGAGAGAGCTATTCGCAAGCTTCATCTTGGAATGAAAGTAAAATGTTTAGCACGACCTATTGTGTCTATTCTTGCTGATAAAAGCACGATCACTGTCTCTCATTATGTCAATCATGTGAAATGTAAGTTCAACACTAAAACTGGAAAGAAGATTGTGCACGAAATCTCCTTCCTAATTGAGAAGAACTTGCCTTTTGATATGATTCTGGGAATGGATTGGCACGAGGAAACGAAACCAGAAATCAAGTTCAAGGAAAAGGAAGTAGGCCTGAAAAACGCACAATCTGAACTCGAGACCATCAAACTGTATCACAAGTGTGGATCTGACTTGACTATGTCTTTCTGTTGTATAAGCTATCCAGCTTTTCGATCGATGGTCAGGAAGAAGCAATTGGATCAGGAGGTAATGATGGTGTTGGTAAAGGAAGTTGGTGAGTCTTCGACACCTTATCCTCCATCGATACAAAAACTCTTAAATGAGTATAAAGATCTATCTCAGGAACYTACTGGGATCACTGAGCATGCTATCAAGCACACTATCGAGATCATTCCTGGAAGTAAGACTCCCAAGGGCCCTATCCATCGAATGTCGCATAGGGAACTTGAGGATATGCGCAAGCAACTTCAGGAATTAACTGACACATGATGATTTCGCCCTAGTTCTTCACCTTAAGGAGCATGTGTATTATTTGTGCCCAAAAAGGAAGGTGAGTTGCGTCTATGCATTGACTATAGAGGGTTGAACTCCGTCATTGTGAAAAACGCTGAACCCCTACCACGAATTGACGACTTGTTGGATCAGCTGCAGGGATGCAAGTACTTCAGCAAGACTGATATGATGTCGGGATACCACCAAATCGAGGTGGCGCCCGAAGATSAACACAAGACTGTTTTTTGAACCAGGTATGGACACTACGAGTTTGTGGTCATGCCCTTCGGATTGACGAATGCCCCTGCGACCTTCCAAAGGTCTATGAACGAATTGTTTCGAAAGTGGTTGGATCAGTTTGTAATTGTGTATCTCGATGACATCCTAGTCTATAGCAAAACGTTGGAGGATCACGAGAAACAYTTGCGTCTCGTCTTGKGTAAGCTACGCGAAGGTAATTTCAAACTTAACCCAAAGAAGTCTGAGTTTGCAAAACCTGAAGTGCTCTACTTAGGGCATATAGTCAATGAAGAAGGACTYAGACCGGAAGCGAARAAAATTTCAGCGATTAGAGATTGGCCACAACCAAAGTCCAGCACTGAGTTGAGGTCCTTCCTTGGGTTAGCCAGTTACTATAGAAAGTTTGTTAGAAACTTCTCCTTAGTTGCTGCTCCCATGAGAAGACTCCTGAAGAAAGGAACCGTATGGTTGGGGGACAAGGACTGTGAGTCATCAACGAAGAAGTTAAAATATGCACTGACTCACTATCCCGTTCTGAAAATCGTTGATCCATCTCTTCCCTTTATTGTGACCACTTACGCAATTCAGTATGAAATTGGCGCAGTCCTACAGCAGGACGATGGTAAGGGTTACCGGCCTATTGAGTTCATGTCTGCCAGACTTCCTACTCAGAAGGTCACCGACTCCACTTACGAAAGGGAATTGTATGCGCTTGTCTATGCACTGAAATCCTGGAAACACTATTTGTTAGGGAGACACTTCACTGTCTACTCAGATCACTCGACACTGAAGTGGATAAAGACTCAACCAAGACTCTCTAACAAACTAGTACGATGGTCTGCTTTCCTCGACACCTTTGACTTTGAGTTGTAGACAATCAAAGGTAAGTCTAACGCTGTGGCAGATGCATTGTCTAGGAGAAGTGATTTCGTTGGAACCATTGTCTCCTACTTGGATATAGGAAATGATGTGCAGGAACAAATTCGACAAGGCTATGCTAATGATCCTATCTGGAAACCCATTATTGACCTTGTCACTAAGGATTATGCCCTGTTACCCAAGTATAAGATGACAAATGAATTGTTTTTCTTGATAGACGAAACTAAACAACGGTTGTGTATTTCTCACAAAGAAGAGATTAAAAGTCTGCTGATTGGGGAATGTCGTGACTTTGCAGGACATTTTGGTTTCAAGAAAACTTATGCAGAAGTAAGAGAACGCTTCGATTGGAAAGGACTAA